CCAATCAGGAGGCCTGGTGGCACGTCATGACCCGCCTCCCAGCTTCCTGTTTGGCTAGGAAGCCGTCTTTACTTTGGTCAGGAAACCAGGCTGCCTAGGAAACAAGTGAAACCGGCTTGCTAGCCAATCAAGAAGCTGGTAGGCGGGTCATAACCCACCACCCGGCTTCCTGATTGAAAAGAAAGCCGGCTTCATGCTCCCTCAGCATTGCAGGTCAGAGGGAGATAACTCTCTGACTGGAAGTTCTGGTATCAGAGGTACGTATGGGAGCATTTGGGTGAGTACAAGTACTCGCCCAAATACTCGGTATTGTCACCGATACTAGTATCTGTGCATATTTTCAGTAGTAACTATTGGTGATTCCAGGAGTTATTAAGCTGAATGTGTAACAACACTGTAATTGCTATCACCACACATGGTTTTTGCATATGCAAAACCAAGGCTAGAGTGTTTCTGCAGAACAAAGCAAAATGGTGGGTGGGTGAGCAAGATAACATTCTCTTTCATTTTAACAATATCTCTTCTTGTATTGCAGGATTATGCTATCTCACGGTTTGATGCCTATTTTCAACAAAAAAAGCTTTGGTCCTAAATTTAAAATTAACCTCCATTTTTCCCTCTTCGCTACTGCAACTGAAGCCTTGCAAGAATCTGCTAGCTTGCTGTATAATATCCGTCCAGTTACATTGATATCTGTTTACCTGATCTCAGTTTTTAAACTAGTTTATTGGGTTTTTTTCCGCTTTTTTTTTTTTTTTTTAATTTATTTAAACAATTTTCCAACTAAAAATAAATACACTGTATTGCCTTGGTTTATTTCTGCCAACCAGTGACAAAAGCTACACCTGTCAGTTACCAGTATATGTATGCAGCAAAAATGACATTGAATGTCGATTTGCATGGCTGATTACTTTTTACTTTGAACAAATGGGATATCATTCAGTAAAATTGTAGTACAATAACATCAGTACATAGATGCAGTTATCATCATTACGTAGTACTGAACATGGTCATACTTGATTGGCTAAATCCATCCAGCTGTATTATGCAGTCATATCTCATGATTAAGTAAATAATTTTGTGGTTGGAGTGGAGATTTTCACACGCTTACTGGATGTCCACCCTTCCCAGAACCATCTTACAACCAAGTTGCTTGGTTTTATAGGGTGCATGACAGCCCACCTACAGAAGTTAAATGCTTTTTAATGCAGGCATACCTCTTTTTTTAGATTGAAAAATATACTTTATTAATGTAATAAAATATACAAAAACAAGCTATAGAATCGGGGCAAGCATACCTCTATTGTACTAAAGTGAACCAGTCAGCTGCAAGCAGTGTCTCAAAGCTGCTCATTTGCACTATTAAAATGGTTGAGCAGCTTTTGGTTTTGTTTAGGGAGATCTGTGCTAATCAGCAGCAGGGAGCATGTGGTTAGGTTTTTGTCTTTTAAAGTTACAGTTTTGAGTTAATATAAATAATTAAGACATAAGGGAAACGAGGGGAAAGCCTAACTGTTTAGAGCTTGGGTTTTTTGTTCCTCCTTTAGAAGTTTTTCCAGGATCCCAGAGGTGTATTCGGCTCCATTCACATATGTCGTTTGCGCACAAAAATGCCCAATTTTTTTACATACGAGTGGGTTCTGCAGATTTGCAGCTATTACCGTAGCTGCAAACATGCAGAATCCACCCCTAAAGTTGTGCATGGACTATTTTGTACGGAGCCACAAAATAGTCACAATAGTCTGAACAATGCACATTGAAATGCATTGTTTTTTATGTTTACCACGTTTCCGTGCGGAAAACCGCTTATGTGTGAATGGAGCCTAAAAGGTCAGTCTTAACAAAATGTAATGTATAATTCAGATTTTGGCTAATGGTTAAATGACTCCACTTAACAAAAAATGAAATGAAAAAAATGACTCCACTTAACAAAAAATGAAATGAAAAAAATCCTAAAAGGAGAATATAGCATATATAATTGCTACGTCATTTTTGTAATTTAATTGATTAAAAAGTACCTTTCCATTTAAAACTACACAGTTGGTGTACAGAACTCTCCCAGAGATGTCATTTCCTACTTCTGCGATTGGCCGACTGATTTTGACAGACAGACGTCTGCACTAAGTTATAAGTAAAATGTTAGGCACCCCTTGCAATAGGAGTTTCACTTTTGGTGACAATGGTGAGATACTCCCTAAGGGCATGTTTACACTAGGCTGTCCGCTAAAACTGGTGGATGGGCTAGTGCATTGTGGCAGCCTTTGCGCTGTGCGTTGTATCTGACCCTTAGGGTTAATTACTTCTAAAACGATACAGACCCTACAGATTTCCTCATTAGAAAGTCCACCATATGATTATAATGAATTGAGACCCTTCCTTTCATGAATTAGTCTCTGGAAAGGACATGCTGGAACTGCTATTTCTGAGCAGGGATCTGTAACAAAATGTGTTCCAATCCTCACAATGTACACTTATTACCCAGGGGGATTTGTTTTTTTTTTCCTCTCTACAAAAGTGGAGTTACTCTTTAAGATGTTGGATTGGAGTTGTAAGCTATGATATTGAAGTCCCATTTCCATGTAGGATTTTTATTTTATATTACAACGAATATAGCAAAAAAGGATAGGAGTCCCAGTGGATTAATTGCAGAATCATACAGGTGGGTTTTAGTAATGCAGTCATGATACTAAAATCATTAGCATTTAATTGTTAGGAGTACTAATGGTCCACTAGTCAGATAGAACAAATTGCTTCCCATGTTATAATATGCATTGTCCTCCCATCACCCAAAGCTCAGTATCTTGCGGTATACTGAGACGCCGCAGCTAAAACGCATCCCGACAATTATGTCTGGATCCACCCAGCTGTGTGAGTTTTCTCTGCCTATCTAGAGGCAGAGCCAGCTGTACCTGCCCCCTCCCCCGTCCGTTCCTCCAGTCAGCGCTAGAGGATCAGAGTGGGGAGCGGGGAATCCAGTCCCTCCCCTGTCACGGCTCTCTGCCGTGACAGGATCAAGAAGTGAGCAAGCGCCGGTATGTGTTCACTCACTTCCCGATCTACTGAGCCGACCTGTGACAGTTTAATTGTCACATGTCGGCTATAACTATGAGGATGAGTGAAAAGCACTCACCTCATATGTTAGTTCTCCTTTAAAGAATAATTTAAAAAAATAAAGAAGCATAAAAACATTTTAAAAATATTTTTTTTTAAGTCCCCGCCCCCCACATACACACACAGATATGCGTCGGGTGCGCCTTCGTGCGAAAAACGACGATAGTGCCTATTGTGCCGCACGTTACATATCGCTGCAAACGTCTGAGTGAGAGCAATAATTTTAGAGACATTAATCACTGATTTAAAAATGTTAACATAAATTTCAAGGCTATAGTCCGGTCATGCTGACTGGTGAGACATCATCAAATTTTTCAAGCCGTGTGTATGTATATGTGTATATGTATATATCTATAGATATATAGATATATCATATACATACATGCATACATACATACATACATACATACATACATACATACATACATACATACATACCTTTCCCTTTATAACAATGCTGTTTGTTGTCCACTACAACACTACACTACAATATCTTCAGCAGGCTCTTGTTTTGCCATAATAATTTTTTTTTTTTAATTTTGTTACTTTGAAATAAAATGTACTGTTGAAAGTTAACTGATGGAAAATAGTCCAAAAGCAATCCCCTGCTGCAGCCCATAGCACATATCCTGATAAGCTTAGCTCTGTATCCTGATGAGATTAAGAGTAATGTGGTTAACCAGAGATCATTTCTATTATTTATTCCTGTCTCTGCAATATTGACCAGTTACTAATACTATAGTCTCTCTTCCATCTAACAGTAATGAAACACAGTATATAATAAA